GTAGTAGTAGCAGCAGGAGTAGTAGTAGTAGTAGTAGTAGTAGTAGCAGCAGGAGTAGTAGTAGTAGTAGTAGTAGTAGTAGTAGTAGTAGTAGTAGTAGTAGTAGTAGTAGTAGTAACAGTAACAGTAACAGTAAAGGTAACAGTAATAGTAGTAATAAGAGAAATAAAAGTAATAGTAGTAGTAATGATCGTAACAGTAGTATTGGTAATAATAAAAATTACTAGCTATTATTAGTAGTAGTAGTAGTAGTAGTAGTAGTAGTGGTGGTAGTGGTAGTAGTGGTGGTCGTGGTGGTCGTAGCAGTAGTAGTAGTAGTAGTAGTAGTAGTAGTAGTAGTAGTAGTAGTAGCCACAGGGCCAGACAACCCAAAGCAAACGAGCAAAAAGGCAACAGAAACAGGGAGTATCAGCGGCACGGTCTCTGTTTAATCATTGAATTATATCGACCATGTTCAAGCGCTTGACTGTAATGACTTCAAAACCGCAGGTTGATCCAAGCTGAGAGACCGACTGCATTGCGCGATGCCAACCGCTCTTCCCACACCAACCGGCCAGGGGCAAACTAAAAAGTCATTGGACTGATTGCTCGCAATGCGGTTGGCAGACATCTAGCCACCTCTGTGATATATGATGGGGGCGTGAACGAATCAGAGATCATTTGGACCATTGGCACGACAAGACACTGCTGGTCAACCAGAGCTTCATGAGCTCTGACTAGCTTCGCTGGCTCGAATCTGCAGCTTTTCTGCAGACATCGGGGGTGCGCCGATTACGCTCTACCAATGCGATTTGCCTCTGTGTCTCAGACGTGCTTGAAGGTGCCAGACGGTGCTGCGCCTGCAGCAAAGATGTCCAAGAGATCAGAGACCGGGAACTCCTGCATCCAGCTGTGCAAGCTGAGCAGTGAGTATCGGGATGCTCTCTTCATGTCTTGCTTGACATGCAAGGGCTCCCCAACTTGATCATGTTCTGTCCAGACCGAAACCATCGGAAGAAACGGAGGTGCTTAGCGTGTGTCATGCAGCACCGGCGCTGTTTCAATATGTTCGAGAGACTGATTTGCACTGGTGGAAGCTTGGGAGAGGCGATGCCTACAGTACATCCTCGGACCCATTCCCAGATGCGGGGATGACGTGTCAACGCCGCTCTTTAGCTCTAGAAGGGTTCCGAAAGGAAAGAAAGGCGTTCGTTGAAGTTGATGCACGCAGAGACCTCGAACAGTGACCGGCTCTGAAACCTCCTCCACTGGACAGTCATGCCCGACCTTGCTCCTTGTCACAGTTTGCCTAGACTTCGATGACGATTGTATCTGTGTATCTGGGACATCTGAAAAAACCTAACACTACCTGGAAACAAGTGCACCGGCTTGGACAAGGCTACTCAGACATGCTGTCCATTTACCAGGCCTCTGCCGCATCGTTGCGCTGCCGGACAGCTGTTGGCTCCCACACCTACAACTGTTGAAGACATCTGAGCTACTGTCAGCTTTTCGAAGTTTTTGCGTCCAACTCCAGACTTCATTTTCACAGGGATGCCTGGCCTGCACTCGCCTGGATACTGTATATTATTATCAAGTACTCGACGCCAGTTTCGCTTATCTCCACAGTGCCCCTAATGATGTGAGACTCATGAAATATCAGTTGCGCAGTCTACAGAGCGACATGATGCCTACACCTCTTCGTCCAATTCAAGTTCACATGGAAGTCCGCCAACTTCGAGCCAGGTTTGAAGCCCGTTCACGTGAAGCCTCTGCGCTGTGCCCCACGAGCAAAGGCAAGCGAGGGACGAAACCGCCACGGCTCTCCTGCAAAATGCGCGTCAAGGGAATTATGAGCAACATGGGAGAAATTGTAGGCGACCGACCGGAGTGCAAATTCCAGGCCGACCTGTCCTTTCCGGCACCGTCGGCGACATGTTGGATCGAGGTTGCAGGAAACCAGTCAGGAGAAAACCATCGAGGGCTGGTGCCGGACACGAAGAGCTGTGCGTTCACTGGAGGTGATGTCTCCGGCGCTGGCATCCCAGTCACTACATTGGCCTGCGGAGTGAGAGTGTCTTGTGCGCTGAAGCTCCAGACTTGGCATTCTGCCATCTGCTTCGGTGCGACAGCGTTGGGACCACTGGGAGCTGATACATGCATAGGCTCAGCCTTCTTCGGAAGAGACGTTTCCAGTGAAGGGCTTTCACCTGAGAGTGAAATGTTGCATGCAAGCTCCGAGGTGGCCGGGGTGTCATGGAAGGTATCACTCCACGGTCCTTCCGTGCTTGTGGCTGGCAGGGCAAGGAATGCCTTGTCTTTCTCCCTGCAGGCTATGTACCTTGCAATATGCGTGGCGAGAGGGAAAGCGGGAGCCAGGGTCCATTGCGCAACTTGACTCGGCCAACCCAATTTATTGTATGATTCGAGGAGGGACATCACCACACAAACTTGAGTCAAGAGTGTTTTTCGCTTCCAGCAGTTAAGTTAGCATTCGCATCCCAAGAGCTACTGATGCTACTGCTACCTATGCCGACCAAATGGTGCCGGGCAAAGTGCACATGTGGAGAATCAACAGTCCCCAAACCGAGACAAGTTTGAAGATCATCCGTGCCGGAGCGTCTTCATTGCTGTTGCTTGTGCTTGCAAAGCTTAGCACTCTCAGTGAATCGCACCCAGTCTGCGAACGTGTCATCCTGTGCTCTACACAATTTTGTACGACAGAGCATGGTGGCAGACATGTCAATGCTTTGAGCAGTCACAGTAGCTAGCAGTCGTAGTCGTCATAGTAGCAGTCGTCGTCGTATTGGCAGCAGCAGCAGGAACAGTAAGAGTAGGAGCAGGACAAGAAAACAACGAAGAAGAAATTGTAACAGCACTAATTCTAGTTGTTGTTGTTTTGTTGTTGTTGTTGTTGTTGTTGTTGTTGTTGTTGTTGTTGTTGTTAGTAGTAGTAGTAGTAGTAGTAGTAGTAGTAGTAGTAGTAGTAGTAGTAGTAGTAGTAGTAGTAGTATTGGTAGTAGCAGTAGTACCAGTAGTACTAGTATTACGAGTAATAATAGCA